ATCACTCATCGCTATTGAAGTATATATGTGGTTCTACGTCGGTGAATGTATAGGAAAGAGGCACTTAATTGGTTATGACATCAAGTTATAATTAAATTCCTGTAATTTAAAGTAAATAATGCTTCTTCAGATTGTATACATTTATTTTGTATCTAGAAATTATATTATTTTGTAGGAATACAAGTACAACATTTTTATCATTCAAATTCACATGTAAACATTTCTACAGTTATATAAATAGTAAACGATAAACACAGTATTATTCCTTATTTTTATTTGTAAAAACCATATCCTACAATCATTACAATGAAATTCCTTCTAAAATGATTCCCCTTAGTCTATATTGTTTTTTATTTTATGATGAAATTTATGGTTTTTAATTGCTAGACTAATTAATTATAATACATATTCAATGTTAAATGCAGATAATTTTAATAAAGTAAGGAATCTAGATAAAATATTAAATTAGCCTATACTTGCTTTATTGCTTTAGCCTACTATTAACAACATGTTCACCAAATAAAAATTGTAAAAAACATTCTAGATATATTACAAACTAAACAATGTTTTTATACTGATCGAACAATATTTATTATATTATAACTCAATGATTACACTATTATTTTATAATTATTGGATGCAGTAATCATTGATTATAGATAAAAAAAATAATATTATAAATATTATTCGATCAGCATATCAAATATTATGTAGCTTGTCCGTAATATTTTTTCCAATTTTCAGCTGGTAAACATGTTGCTAATGGTAAACTTGAGCACTTCAAATTCTGTTTGCATTCTGGATGTTTACATTCTTCTTCAATACCATTAAATTTCATACACGTACATCTTTGATCCTAGAGAAATGTACTTGTATAATATATAATAATTATGATTTTTTAGTTATTTGACGTTACTACCACATGGAATACTTCTTTATAAAGTGCAAATGTTGTTCTCCTAGAAAAYAACGGTTCAAATAATGGTTTAAAACCATCTGTAGTAGGTATAGGTGACATGAGACAACATCCACTTTCTTGATATTTGATTCTTTCCAATGGGTTAATTGTTGAACACAATACTTCACACCTTTTCCACAATTCTTGACATTCTTTGGGTTGTAATTCATGTGTATTACTATAAGATTTAAGTATTTGTATTAGTCGAATGACTGATTTCAGAGGTTAAACTTGACATTAACGCGTTCATTTGCACACTTAGCAGATACATATGTATAGAGGCATTTTAAGTATATTAGGGTTAAGAAACTTAATTTATCCATTAATAATTCATTTTTATTTTATAATATAACTTTAATACACAATGCAAAAGAATGGCACAACACATATGACTATAATATGAGCATTATAAAAAAAAACCATTCTAACTAATGAATA